TCCTGTCCTCCACGCCAGAAGTCGCCTCGAGCAAGGTTAGCGTTCTCTCTCTCCGTGCTGTACTTTGTGTCATATTTTTGTGGTTTAAAAAAAAAAATACACATGGTTCAGAACGGATTAACCATAATTACATTGAACCTTATGGGAAAATTTGATTCGGGTCGCGACCAAAATTTGGTTGGTGACCAAATTCGTAGGGGTCAGAACGGATTAACCATAATTACATTGAACCTTATGGGAAAATTTGATTCGGGTCGCGACCAAAATTTGGTTGGTGACCAAATTCGTAGGGGTCAGAACGGATTAACCATAATTACATTGAACCTTATGGGAAAATTTGATTCGGGTCGCGACCAAAATTTGGTTGGTGACCAAATTCGTAGGGGTCAGAACGGATTAACCATAATTACATTGAACCTTATGGGAAAATTTGATTCGGTTCGCGACCAATTCGGTTCGCGACCAGAGTCGTGGAACGAATTAAGTTCGTGAACCGAGGTACCACTGTACTGAGAGCCGTCCTTCTTAGAATGCATTGGTGAAGTTCACAGTTCTTTTCTAATAGACACAAAAATGAATGTATTCAATGAAAATGCATACTGGAATGCATGCCTTGAAGAATAGCTGCACAAAATATATGATATTAGGGAGATTTGTTTGGCCCACATGTGTCTATTATTACAAAGTAGGGGCAAAATTGAATACTTTGGATGAAACACGCCGAAACAAGCATGCATAGTTTCTACGGTTTGCAGATGGAGAAACTATGCAAGTCGAGGCTTGGCAGATGGCCTTTCTGTAACCTGGAGAATATGATTTGAAAGGCAGAAAATGTGAGTGAATATTAGGAATGTGCAGTTTTTCAAAAATCTGCGTTATTGTTTGCCCGCTACAGCAGATTGGTTTTTCAGGGGGACATACAATAATCATGGCTACCTGTCATTCCAGGGAGTGCTGGAGAAATGAACACGTAGCGCTAGGTAAGGGAACAGGCTGGTATCTTATCCTAAGGAGGAGGAGGAGGTGGTGGAATTAACAGTGCAACCACCTCTAGTTTCTGTAGATTTTTGTTTTGGAAGGAAGGATGAATGTTAGCCAGACCTGGCTTGAGGGCAACATCCATCCTCCCATAGATTGCTCTGGGGACCAAACCCCAAGTCTGGTTCCAGAAGACTTCATGGTGGTATTTACAGTATGTGCATCCTGAGACGGAGGGCGTTCACTTTCCCTCTTCCCTTTATTCTTTAGCAATTCCCAATGATTAGCTATTTCCTACTCCTTAAGCCCCATTGTAGACCCATGTTTGTGCCTTTTTTTCCCCACCCTGAATGGGGAGGAAAGACGATGATGCAGAGAGAAACTGGTGGGGAGAAAAGGAGTTAAGTTCTCTCCTTTTTGTTCTACCAGATGGATTCTCCAGGGGGCTTCTTTACAAAGAGGAAAGGCAACCAGGCTTTAAAGGTGAACTGTGCAGTCTCCTCCTCCTCCCTCCTCCCTCATTCTTCTCCTCTTCTTCCTCCTCCTCTTCCTTCCTCCTCCTCCTTCTCCCTCCTTCTCTTTCCTCATTTCTCCTTCCTCCTTCCTCATGCTCCTCCTCTTTCTTTTTCTTCCTTCCTCTTCCTCCTCCATTTCCTTCCTCCTCCTCCTTTTCCTTTCTCCTCCTCTTCCTCCTCCTTCTCCTTCTCCCTCCTTGTTTCTCCTTCCTCTTCCTCATTCTCCTCCTCTTCTTCCTTCCTCCTTCTCCTTCCACCTCCTTCTTCCTCCTCCCCCAAACTGTATCTTCAGGTGCAGTTACCTGACAAGAAACTGGAAGCATTTTGCTCAGGGTTAAGCTTGCGGAGACAGAATGGGCTGTCAGGACTGTCCGAAAGTGACCTGAGCAAATTTTCACTAAGGAGTTCTGTGAGTCGCCTCCTCCGGCGGAAATTGATTCGAAACTGGTAGAGGAGGTCCCGGTCATAAAAGTGGTATTGAACGGAGACTGTGGGAACAATGAGCAGTGAAAGAGAAAAGTCACAGCAGTGTTTTTCCCCATCTTGAGCCAGCTGTGTCTCTCTGTTATTGTTATTCATTTATTATGGCCACATTTTTTATGGCCACCCACTCCAGCAGAGGGCTTACAAAATCCAAAAGAGCAAATAAAAACAATTAAAAGCATACAACATACAACATCAGAGACAACCTGGACTAAAACAACCATGACTGTAACAAAAAAGACAACAGCCACCCCTTCTGGGTGTGATTCAAAGTGCTGGTGCTCACCGATAAAGCCCTCCATGGCACAAGGCCAGTTTATTTGAAGGACTGCCTGTCTCTGTTTCTGCTTGCCCCACCAGAACTGGCAGAGTTGCCCTGCCTCAGGTCTCATCTGTTAGACCAGTGCTTCCCAACCGTGGCAACTTGAAGATGTGTGGACTTCTACTCCCAGAATTCCAGCTTATTAACCCTAGGCCTGGGACCAGAACCAGGCCTTAAGGGGGTTCCAGAACCCCAGGAGAGAGGGCACCATCCATATCTCTGAGGGGATGCTGTTCCAGAGGGCTGCAGGGAAACAGAAACAGGTCACATTTGTCTTGAAATATAAACCTGGGAAATAGCAATGATTTAACCTTGTCTTCTCTTACTGAACTAGCCCTTTCCTTGGTGTGGTTCAGTGTTGATGTTAATGTGAAATGTACTGTATACCTTGAGTCCACTGGACCCAGTTAGCTAGTGATGGCCTATCTCTGTGTCATCCTGCCCCACCAGATTATTATGTAATCCTGCCCCACACGTTCCACATGGGGCTGCCCTAGAAGAGCATTCGGGATGCAGTGGCGTGAGCAGTTCTTGGCAGTCCACATCATGCTCAAACAATCGCTATGCTCTACAAGCTGCGCTGGCTTCCACTGGGTTTCTGGGTGTGATTCAAAGTGCTGGTGCTTACCAATAAAGCCCTCCATGGCACAAGGCCAGGTTATTTGAAGGATTGCCTGTCTCTGTTTCTGCTTGCCCCACCAGAACTGGCAGAGTTGCTCTGTCCCAGGTCCCATCTATTAGACCAGTGTTTCTCAACCTTGGCAACTTGAAGATGTTTCTCAACCTTGGCAACTTGAAGATGGCACTGTCTAATACAATGTTACTCAACCTTGGCAACTTGAAGGTGTGTGGACTTCAACTTCCAAATTCCCCAGCCAGCATGGCTGGCTGGGGAATTCTGGGAGTTGAAGCCCCCACATCTTCAAGCTTCCAAGGTTGAGAAACACTGTATTAGACAGTGCCATCTTGCAGGGCCCAGGAGTCATGTCTGTTGTGTTACAGCCCCTGCCCTGTTGAACAGCATCCCTCCAGAGATCCCAATGGCCCTGGCTCTGTTGGCCTTTCATAAGGCTTTAAAGACCTGGCTCTTCCCCCAGGCATTTGGGCTAGGAGGTTGAGCGAGCTCTGCTGGTTCATTGATTTTCACTGTTCTTTTCTTCTGTAATTGGGATAATTGCTATGATCTTGGACATTTATTATTATTTACACTGTTAATTTTTGTTGATGATGGTGGTGGTTTTAATCCTGATATGCTGCCCTGAGTCATTGCTATGAGTTGGGTAGCATATACA